AAAGGCTTCTAACTGCTTTACAGTTTCAGTGGATTTCATTCTAAAAGAACAAGCAAAATATCACAACTTCAGTTATTGGTATGTAGCACAAATATTCGTAAAATCAAACAAAACAAATAAATAGAATAAAACAGAAGGTGATTGAGATTGTTCTGTTTAATTTATATTAAACCAGCAACCATAACAGTCCAGAAGATTTTCATTATTTTGCAGTGACAAACTGACAAACTTACCCTCTTTTCTTTCCCTTTTCTGACATTGTGTCCTTCTCATTTTCCACGGAGATCTCCTTAGGCACAGAGGGGTCCTTCTTGTCCTCTTCCTGCTCCTTGCGACTGGCAGACTTTTTCAAAACTTCAAACTCTGAGTCAGGTTCTACCACTGCGACTTCCTCCTCAGGTATAGTAAGGGCACGGGTGAGAGGGGTGGTACCTGCCGGGATCTTAAAGGTCTCATGGAACTGCACAGGCATGCTGAGTCTAAGGAACATCATATCAGTGTTGGCATTCTGCGACCCAAACGTCTTGTGCGTCAGCTTCAGACAGGGGGCGCTGTCCACGGTCCCGTCAACACGGGAAACCTAGGAGACAAAAATAAAGAAATCACTCATTTTGAAGTTCTAACTTTATTAAACTTTACACATGTCTCTGAATAGTTACCTCAATATGGTTGTGATCAGCAGGCACAGGCCCAAACTGGGGCAAACTTTTACTGAACCACATGGTGATGTCTCGCTTCATATTGATGGCAAAAGGTTCAAATCCTTCCTGCAGGCCACAAATGGCAAAATAGCGCAGGCTGCTGACATTTTGACCCAGATTAATCCTTCCAACCTGAGATAGACCCAGGGTACACACTGGAATAAAACCTGATGGGTAGCATGAAAGGGAAGAAATTAGTTAATAGTTTTTTCAAGCTGCTGCTTATAATGCAAACTGGCAAAAAATAAAGCACCGGTAACTTTTAGTTATTGGTGCTAATGCTGGTACTATATAAAAAACAGTTCTCACCATCCCCAATTTCAATATCTTTGAAAGCCATCTCTGAGCCTGAGTCACTGATCAACATTTCTCCATTGAGCGTGAACATGATGTTCATCTCAGTCAGGTCTATCATACAGCCAACGACATCACCAGACAGCCACTGGCGGCCAAATGGTTCATTGCCAATATGCCATCGCTGGGCCTGGAAGAGGTTACAACAAATAAAATATTACTTATTTCCACAAAAACAGAGACATCATTTCCACCAGCTACAGTGTGCTACAGTAACCTTTTTTAGCTACTGACTAATACATCTTGCCTCAGGTTTACGATACCTTGACCTTCTCCTAGCTATACAAAAATAATAAAGACAATGCGATATTTTCTATTCCTATAACTTAAAGAACTTTCCTCCTCAAAAGTCAATATTTCTAATAGTTTGAGATCCACGTCACCCATTCAAAAAGATGTGAATGATTTAGAAAACATTTACACAATGTAATTTTTTATAGACCAAGATAACAAGTCTAAATTCGATTTGTAATGTTACCCTAGTGACTAACCTTATTGCCATTAAAGACGTAGGCCAATTCATCTGCTCCCAGTTCAGTGTCAGAGTGGACATTAGGACGTGCCCAGCCCACTCTCATCTCCCCCGTTGAGACTGCCTCAAACTCAAAGTACCACTTTCCTTGGGTGACAGCATACGACTTCTCTGCCCTGAAGATTCGCACCTTGTCCCCACGGGTGTTCTCAAGGCCATGGCCAGCTGCAGTGAAAGAGGGAAAACATGACAGATAAGAATAAGAAAAACAAAAATGCTAAAAAAAAATTAAAAAAAAGGTGGTGTAAAAAAGATACTGTGCATTTAATCAGCGAACACATGAGGAAAGATGACTTACTGCTCTCCTGATCTGGAGGCTCAATGTTGTAGCCATAGCCAATGAGTGTACGGACAGCGTTGTTGACACTGTCTCGGTTGGTTTTCTTAGTTCTCTCATCCAGCAGGTTGTAAGGTACCAGACGAGGGTTACGCTTATTAACAATGTCCTGAAAAGTGTACAAAATGCAGCTTTATATAGAAAAGAAAAAAATATGCAATGCATGTGATTGTAAGTGATTGATTGGGTACTTTAAGACAGACAATCCACCAATAAATAAAAGTTCCACTAAGGATTGGGAAATCATCACCTGGACAATGCTGTAGGTCCATCCTTGCCGTACTCGGTCCCTCGCCCAAACATTATGCCCATTTTCTGCCAGTTTTTCTACAAGCTGATTCTGGTTTGGTGTCAGCTTGACATGGCTGAGATCAAGCGGGGCAGGCTTGTATCCGTTGCTCATCACATAGCTAACAGAAAGATATGGTTACATTTAGATCTGCATGGTTAAAGTATAAAATTATGACGAAACAATAAGAAATATCTTTTGTTTTCATACGTCTTGGGAAGCTTGATTTTCTTTAGATTCTCCTCCGCTTTCTCATCACCCATACCAACATGGCAACCCAGTGCTAGGAGAGTCCTGTGGGATAATAAAGTAAAGACACAAGTTCACCAATAATGGGACATAAACGTTTTCCTCTGACCTTTAAATCTCTCAAATCTAACCTGCTACTCACTTGAGAGTCTCACCGGACATCTGCAGATTGTAGTTCTTCTCTGGCTCAGGCAGACTTTGGAAGTCCACCAGACAGGGGTGGAGTTTCTTGTTGTCATCCCTAAACTGGAGGGAAAAATCATAGTTTTTTACCCACAGTTTATAAATGTGTGTAAATTTATATATGTATATGTTAGTTCATGCTTTTTTTTTTTGCTTGTGTAAAGCATTTTGAAGCAAAGGTAACATTTTGAAGCATTTCTAACAGTCATATCAACTTTTAACAGTTAAAAGCTCTAAACCACTTAAAGCTGATGTTGTCAAACCACTAATCTCGTATAGTTGCATCTGTTCTGCAGTGCTGACACCATACTCACAATCCCATAGGTCCAACCCTGCTCAATACGAGTGATAGCCCAGAGTTCGTGAATATTCTCTGCCAGTTTTTCTCGGATACGTTCCAAGTGGGGTGGCAAGACAATCTATAAAGCAAAGGAAAGTCAGAAAACAAAAAGAAACAAAGACATCGAATACTGATTTTAGCTGAGGGGATTTTACCTGAATTGTGTCCACAGGGCAGGGGGTGAAAGATGTGTGATTGAGGGACAGAGTAGGACCCAGAAGATTGCGCACACCATTAAAGTCATGCTTGTACTCCTTGATATGTTCAATACGCATCCTCTCTCTAGGCAACACAGCCTCGTAGCATGGCGCATAACCAGGCGGGGGCATGAATTTAAAGTCCCCATGGCGACCACCGAGGAGGAACCGAGCCCTAAGGGGACAAAAACCAAGTGAGTCCAAGTCTTTATCTATACGACAGAGGTTTATATACTACTAAACTCCTTTATGACAATGGTTCATTGATCTTTAGAAAACTCATAATAAAGAAAAAATTGATTTTTATTTCTGTGCCGGTTCCTGAGCTTGTGTTTCCCTTCTTGTACTCATCAGTCAATGATGCATAAGCCCCATCTCAACACTATAAAGATTTATTACAGACAAATCCTGTAAGATTTGATGATGATTTTAAAGCTATTATTTGGGAGATTAGACAATAATCTAAAGAAATACAAGAAAATTAATAATTATTAAAAATATAAAACTGGAGAAATTCTGAAATATAATGCAATAATAATTCTTTTGTTACTTCCCCATTGTAAATTTTACACCAAAAGTCCAATAATTGAAATTAAATTACAATTTAAACGGTGACAAACTCATGAAAAACCATTAAATTAGCTTCTGCTTGCATTGCATCAACATGTATCACACGAATTTGCTGGTGTACTAGTCCATTAATCAACATAATACAAGTAAATAGTGAAACAGAGGATTATGCTTTATTTGTATGTTAAACTTACTTGACCCCAGCAGAAAAGCTAATGACGGGAAAGAAGAGGCCATCAACATTAAAGTTTTCAAACATTCCCTGAACTGGGTGGCCATTAATACGGAAGGAGATACTGGGCACACTGAGATCCAGGCAGCAGCTTACAACATCATCGGCAGCCAGTGTATGTGCACTGGGCGAAGCCACCTGGCGGGCCACAGTACCTGAATAGTAGAGCAGGTAGTGAAGAGGTTGTATTGGTTACAAGAGATTGTAAATCTTCTTGTAAAGAATTTAAGGAAATCTTACCTGACCACAGATGCAGTCCATCAAAGCCATATGAGTAGAGGTCATCTCCCACACCATTACCACCCCAGCCTTCTCCTCCTCCAGGATAGGGGCTATAACCTTCAGTCAAAGCCCAGCCTACCCGCAGGTGACTTGCCTGTGCTGTCACAAAGGCTTCCACATGGTCTACCATCACCTCAAAGTACCACTTCTTATACTGTGTTGACCCCTCACATGTACCCAAGAAGATGTTGGGCCTTACACTGAGTACGGAGGAGAAAGTACATTAGCATTAACTTTTATAGACAACAAGGGAAAATAACTAAAAACTAACAATGTGGAAATATTGCAAAACAATGTATATTTGGACTCTTGTGCACCTTTAATTTCTGCAATATCCCAGAAACATTAGTGTTAAGATAAGATAAG